TTATGAATAACCATTGCTGCAGCACAGAATTTGGCCACTTGTCTCATAATATAAGGGGTATTGTCAAAGAGTAGCAACTGGACATAATTCTCCTCTGATCTCCCAGAAGATTTACAGATAATAGCTGATAAAAGCTCCATACGAAGATCCCGATAGCAAGTACAGAAAAGGAGAACATGACCAACTGATTCAACTTTATCACTATTACTAGGGCAGAGACAATCTGATGTAGGCAAACCTCAGAATCTTCCCTCCAGAAGCTTAGAAGGAAATACATTGAGCCTAGCTAGTGTAAAAGCCCTTATGGCTTAGGTGACATAGTGCTGGCTAAATATGAGGAGGTGATAAAGGCAGATTTCTGAAGAAAGTTATATTTCCCTAACTGGCCAATATGGTCCTGTAGTTCACTGTCCCATACCCTTAACTTCACTGCTTTGATGGCATCCTTGAGACTCATTGCTATAAGTATACTGGGAGAAAAGCCAATTTTCGATATCTCTTCAGTTATATGCTTCTTCCACTCCGACTGAAAGGAATCTAGTAGGATCAGTGGGGCCAAGCCTTCTAATGAAAAAATCGGTTTAAGCCAGTATTTCACCATAAGGACTTTAGCCCATACTTTAATGAATAGTAACCCAACCTCTAAGCAAAGAGCCACATTGGAATTACAAAGTGGAACTCCAAGAATGACTCTCGCAAATTTGGTCTGAACAATCTCCAGAGGTCATAGATTAGCGTAAGCGAATAGTTGAGAGCCATAAAGCATTTGTGAATACTGGGACTGGGACATTGTTAATGAGCAAAAAGTGTTCGAACCTAGTTAATCCAAATAATTTCACTCTACTATAAAGGTCATTTACTATGTAAAGAAAAGGTATCTATCACCTATGGCATATACTCAAGTCATTATTAAGTAGTTGTCCCCCAGATATTAGTTTAACACCAGGAAACTGGGGAAAATCCCCAGATATTTGTCTGTCTACATGTTGTGCATATGTTTGGAAGAGAAGTGTCTCTGCTTGCTTTCCAACTTGCCCCATGATCCTATATGTATTCTAGAAGCCTTTGATCCTTTATCAAAATCCTTGCTGGGATTTGCACTAAATGTATTAAGATCAGCAGGTGCATCAGGCTGGTAGGGGAGAGTTTCTAAACATCCTTACAGAACTGTTTCCAGACGTTGGCACTGAACGTGCAAACATTTAAAAGGCAGTTTGAGTGCAGGTGGACAATGGTGGAGTGGCTTATGTGCATGCACCTATGCAGAGTCCTTCTGTTAAAGCCGTTAAGTGGGTCCACGTTTGGAAGTGTAACAGTGCAATTCTATTTACATTTGTTGGGTATTAAGTTCTCTTGCACTCAGTGAGGATTATTCCTGCCACGAAAGTGTGCATAGCATTAGAACCAGTCATGGGATTACAAGAGGAAAGTTCATGTTTGAAAATACTACAGCTAACAGTAACTTTGTCTTTAGAACTTTGTGGCTTCAGTCTAGCAGTGCAGTAAGTCATTCCATTTGAAATCTGTCAGCTTCGGTTCATCGACATTGCATGGCAAGCCCCTTTCTGAAACAAACAAATGTTCTTGTTTGTAGGTGAAGAATCAAGGCACAGTCATGAAAACCCAAAGCCTGTAACATGAAATTACTGTGTGTTAAGTGCTGATGGAGCAGTAAAATAGCATTTCCTAGTCCTGTCACACAAGCAGACCAAATGCTAAATGTTAAAACATGTACGCTGCTACTTAGGAAAAAGTAAATTGTACAGAAGATGCTTTCTCTGGTTACTAAATAATTTCATTTAATGTTAGAAAAATAAATTGATTTTAAAAGCAGCACCATTACTACTGTACCGACATGCAGTTTTTGATAGAACTTCATATGCATTGCTGGAAATCTTTTTGACCCATATTCTCTTTTAAAAATCTGTTGCATCATCATTGTTTTTACTCTGCTGTTCTAGACTCAAAGACCTGATAAACAAAGCTTCTGTGATGCTATTTATGAAAGGAAATAAACAGGTGAGGTTCTTGGAAGCATTTTTATTTGTTAGTTACCTGTTTTTTCGAAATTAACATTATGGTTGAAAACCTATTTCTCAGCATAGTAAGCCACAACTAGAGTAGGCCCATTTGAAGTAGTGGAATTTATGGAAGAGTTCACTCACCAAATCCTGGGTGATTCAGTGGGCCCGCTTTAGCTGCATCTTACTGCACTAAGCAACAGCATTTCAGCCTATGTTTTGTCTCTAGTGTTTGTATATTGTTGTGTATTGCTAAGTTGCTTCAGGCTAATGGTGACCCTATGAACTAACGTCCTCCAGAAGGTCCTGTCTTTAACAGCTATGTTACTGCCTTGCAAACTAGAGGCTGTGGTTTCTTTCAATAAGTCATGTGCTCTTGTGATACGGCTTCCTTTTTTCCTGCTACCTTCCATGTTTCTTAGCATTACATACTATCTTTTCTATTCTGTCTTTGCATGCTAAGTCTAGAGCACAATAGCTTCAGTTTAGTCATTAACTCAGTAGAACTGTGAGAACCAGTGAAAGTTCAGGCATGATTTGATCTAGAAGCAACTTACTTTTCTTTCTGGTAAGGTAAAGGTAACATTTAGTCCAGTCGTGTCAGACTCTAGCGGGCGGTCCTCAGGGTAAGGTAAAGGTAACATTTAGTCCAGTCCATGTCCGACTCTAGCAGGTGGTGCTCAGCCCTGTTTCCAAGCCGCAGAGCTAGCGTTTGTACGTAGACAGTTTCTGTGGTCACGTGGCCAGTGCGACTAGACACGGAACGCCGTGACCTTCCCACTGTGGTGGTACCTATTTATCTACTCACATTTTTATGTGCTTTCAAACGGCTAGGTTGGTAGGAGCTGTGACAAGTGACTGGAGCTCACTCCGTCACATGGATTCGATCTTACGACTACTGGTCTTCCGACCATTTAGCACAGAGGCTTCTGCAGTTTAACCCACAGAGCCATCACACCCCCTTTTCTTTCTAGTAGTACATGGTATTTATAAAGCTCTCCTCCAACACTACATTTTGAATGAATCAATTTCCCCCAGTGGCTTCCTTCATTGTTCAGCTTGCAGGCAATTCACTATCAAGGACAGGGGTTTTTAGAGGAAGTGCTGTACTTTTTCTGTTACTAATTTGTAGTTAATTTAATAGTGAGACTTTTTCATAGTTTCTAACTCTTTTCATTGTAAAAGCTTGTTTAAATATGTTTAATATTCAAAATGTATTTTAAAAGTGTACTCGTGTTTTTAAACTATACTTCCGCTTCTTTGAGAAAGGCAGGATATAAAAGCAAAGCAAAGTGTGATGCTTCAAGCACTCTCTGGGTGGTTTACAGTTTTAATTCTGCAGGCGACACATTGCCCCTTGCAAGTGAGCTGGGCACTCAGTTTATTGATTTCTGAAGGATGGGAGGTTGAGTCAACCTCGAGCCAACTACCTGAGCCCAGGATCTAACTCAGATCATGAGTAAAGTCTTGACTGCAGTTTTGCAGTTTAACCACTATGCCACAGGCTCCATAAATCAAATAAATCAAACTAAATAAATTTAGTTTTGATTATTTATTAGTTTTATCTCTAACTGTTCTGTAAAACTTCTAACACGGCTTACAAAAGGGAAGGATTTTTCCCCCTTTCTGTAGAGCTGACGGGGTGACTATGTTCGTACTAGGGAACCCTACTGAGGCAGGGGCTTCCACAGATAGCTATGGGAGGGCTCCCTAGTGCCAACATAGCTACTGCGTCAGCTCTAGAGAAAGAAAAAAAATGAGACAGCACGCCTGCTCATCACTTCTTGTTTTAGTGCAAATGCTGGGGTTATAGTCTCTGAAGATAAGTTCATTATTAAATGGTATTTATACAGTTCAGTAAATGAATGTCTCCATGTACTCACATCCCCGTCCACACATAAGGACACAATCATGGCAAAACCAGTGAGAACTTGGCTGTGCAAGAGGTTAATTGGCAGCTGCTTTTGCAAGTGTAACATCTATTCTTGCATAAAATGAGTATAGTTTGCTGTGGTTGAATTCTTATTCAGACAGGCATTGAAGACAAATCCAGTGGATCTGCCAGGACTTTTTTTGAGTGTCCAGATGTCTAAGGGGAATTAGAAAATTGTTTTTATATGTTACAAATATTTGTGTGGGTTTGCTTTGTGCTACAAATGCCTACAGCCCCTGAACAATACTTTTCAAAGTTGTTTTTTAAATTTCTTACCACAGGCAGTGAAGTGTGGTTTCAGCAAGCAAATTATAGAAATTCTGAACAGCACTGGGTATGTAAGTAGTTTCTGTCTTGAAGACATACATTTTTCTTGTCTTTAACGTGTTTGCTTCTGCACATCTTACACCATCCAGTTTCTGGTTCTCCTTGGCTTTTCAATCCCTGTCGCACTTCATTCTCTCTCTTCCCACTGTCACCCACAAGTTCCTTTCCCTTAGCATCTTTTCATCATGGTTGGATGTCTCCTGTGGTTTTGGACTCTATCTATCTGCTATGGGTTTTGAGTCTCAGTAACAGACAACCCTGACCTGCTGTGCATTTTAGCCCCTTCTGAGAAAGTTTCAGCCAAAATCCTCTCTTTGTACCTCTGGTTCCCTAGTTAACACCAGCAAGAGTAATAGTTGTAAGGTTTTTCGTAATTAGAGAGTTCCTACTTACGTCCTGGCTGGCTGGATTGCTCATTGATTTAGGTATCTGGCTGTGGAGCTGGAAATTGGGAGTTTGATTCCTCACTTTGTGTCCCAGGAGAAAACTCTTGAACAACTTACACAGTCCCAGGGTATTCCCAGAAGAAGGAAATGGCCCATTTGAGTACTTTCTATACTTAGAAAACTCTGGAAAGTATTGCATGTGTCAGAATTGACTTGATGGGATGTAACAGTTGTTATGACTGATGTCATGTGACTTTTCCAACTCACATATAGTCTGTCTCATTGTGAGCCCCAGGGATTGAAGGAGGACATCTTTTTTCCAACTCACATATAGTCTGTCTCATTGCGAGCAGGCCGTGGGAGCCCCAGGATTGAAGGAGGACATCTTCAGTTATCAGAAATTGCTCCCACCAGATGTTACTTGCATGGGGGTATATATATTTTTGGTAACTAATAATTCTTCCTTTCATTTGGGGCTTCTGCAGCTTGTTCAATGAAACTGATGGCATATTATTTGGGCAAGCCACAGGACAAAAGCAGGAACTCTATGGTTGTTAAAGATCTCCCCTTGCTGGTATTGTCATTATCCTTAGGCAGGTGTGACCTACTCAACAGGATTCTGGCTGTTATATATAATGGAAGGGTGTTTTACTATGCCTGTATCTCTGAAAAGGCAGTCAGTGTTGATCCCGTGACAAATGGAGAAAGGGAAAACTTTACAGATATAGGGAGCTCTGTCTCCTTCCCTTCCTATACAAGAGAAATTAACAGGATTGTTACCCTCAGTTCTGAGTAGCTGCCACAATGTGTTTGTGCATCTTTTTGTTACTGGTACATGATTTTAATGTTACTGGCAAAGGATAGCATCATAGTTAACATTTCTACTGGTTGCAAGCAAATCCACTTGCTTTTCCCAACTAGAGGAGACCCATACAGTGAATCACACTTGGTAAATCAACACTGATCTAACCTCAGATTGAATGGACCTACTGTAATTGGGACTACTGCTTAGATTTAGCCTAGAAATACTGTAGTAACATCTACATTGATAAAAATAAATAGCAATATTGAATATAACTGTCCTCAATAATATTTGTGCTTTTTTGTTTTTATTTATTTTAGTGTTGATTATGAGACCTTTGATATATTAGAAGATGAAGAGGTATGTTGTTCATTTGCTCTGTTCCTATTAATTGGTTTTGGAAATCTCTGGTATGGAATGTTTAAAATTATTTTTCTTTAGGTACGGCAAGGATTAAAGAAGTATTCAAATTGGCCAACTTACCCACAGTTGTATGTAAAAGGTGAACTTGTTGGAGGTTTGGATATTGTCAAGGTAAGGAAAGAATGGTAAGATGAGAAGTACCTATAATGTTCACTGCAAAAAAAGATGGTTTGTCCATGTTGATACTTACTGTACTGAGCTCGTAGTTCTGGTTCCCTTGTTATCTGTTCTTTGTAGTGGTATTGATTGTTTTTCAGAGCTCTAATAGATTGAGCCCTGAATACCTGAGAGACCGTCTCTCTCCATACTAACCTGCTTGCTTTTTAAGAACCACCAAAGAGGCTTTGTTCAGATCTTGTCTGTGATTGAGGAACTGTTGGTCTGGACCATAGTGAAGACTCAGGTTATGTCATACTTTTGTGATCATTTGACTCCCTATTTCATCCCACCTGTTTTGGCCAAATAGTCACAGCATTTTGGCCCTGGTAAGCATCAACTGGGCTGATGACTTCTGTGTAAGTCTTATCTGATTGTGAAGCATTTTCAGCCTATTGGCTGAAGGCACTTTGGGAAGGGTTTCAGGGGGGCCATATTATTTCAGTGCCTGGTGTGCTAAAGGCACGGATTCAAATCAAAGCAAACTGTGAGACCAGAAGTTCCCATTTCCAATACACATTCTGATCCTGCCTTCATTTTTAGAGTGTCATCAGTAGTTGATTTTAGTGTGTGATCTTTTAGCTGACTGATCCAAATTACAGACCGGATAGCAAATATATTCCTTATTGTCATATTTGGAACAGTATTACTCTACTTCCTGGCGTTGCCAAATACAGTGGTGTCTCAATTTATGAAATTAATCGATATTGGAGTGGTGGCCGTAACTCGAAATTTTCGTAAGTTGAAGCACCATTTCCCATTGAAATGCATGGGAACGGGATTAATATGTTGCAGCATTTCAAAAAATACCCCCAAAAATAATAATAATAAATTAAAGCACACCTAAAGCCCCATCGGAAGGCACTAGGGCTTAAAAAAAAATAAAATAAACAGAGCAAGCCCTGAAGGCTGCAAACAAAACAAAACAAAAAACAAACATCACAGCACAGAAACATAACCCCCCTCAGCTGAAACCCACCCAGAAGTTTCTAAAAAGCAAAAAGCAGCACCTTACCAGGAAGACTGAAGCTTCCTTCGATGGCACTCACTCCCCGGCGGATGGCGCTTGGCAACAGGCCGCAGCCGGCACATAGGGCTGCTGCGGTGGCGGCGGCCCTTTCTCATGAGTATAAAGCAGCACCTTATCAGGCAGACTGAAGCTTCTTTCGATGACACTCACTCCCCGGTGGATGGCGCCCGGCAACAGGCCCCAGCCAGCACATAGGGCAGCTGCTGCGGCGGCGGCCATTACTCATGGGTAGACCTGCGCCAGGGATGGGCAGGGAGTGCACCGGCATCCCGCGCCTGGCAGTGAATTGAAGCTGACTGCTTCTCCTTCCTCCTGCGCCGCCACTGCACACCCCGTCCATGGAGGAGCCCCTCTGACCCGTGCACCCCAGCCCAGTGCCTTCGGTGGGCCTTACTCATGGGTAGACCTGCGCCAGGGATGGGCAGGGAGCGCACCGGCTTCCTGCGCCCAGTAGCGATCTGGAGCTGCCCCTGCCTCTCCTTCCTCTTCCTGTCCCGCAGGAGTAAAAAAGTTCCTTGACCCCCTGCTCTAACCGTTGGGGCAAAAGAGCTACAAAGAAGCAGCCTTTTCATCACCAACGGTTTGAATTTCCCGCCTTTTCCCCCTGCCTTTTTCTGTTCTTAGGTCGAAGCTCCGCTCGCAAGTCAAAGCAAAATTTTGCGAGCGGAACTGTTCGTAAGTCGAAATGTTTTGTAGGTAGAGGCGTTCGTAAGTTGAGGCACCACTGTACTGTATTCCTGTGCATTTCTTATCAGTTTAGCTACCTGTAGTTTCATCTGCTTCTTTACCATCTAAGATTTGTATCATACTGAATTTTCCAAGTTTCCCCGTGCCTTGCATTCAGCCATTATGAGGCAAGGCCCAGCTGATCTTTGTCCTTTTGGAAATCACTGTTAACATGCATGTTTGCTGACATTAAACATTTTAGAAGTTTGAAATTGAATTACTTCATTGGGTCTTTGTGTACTTGACTTTCTAATTAGCTTAACATATTGGCAAAAGAAGCCTTAAATCTCCAGAGTACAAGTGTATTCCCTTCTAATGTAAACAACTGAAATGCATTTTCTTGGCAGCAGGTCAGTTACCTTGTATTTAATTTTCATTTGGTTTTTTTTAGTTTAAGCTTTTTGACATTGTTTTGTTCCCCTCAAACATTGTGATTACATTTTGTGTAGCAAACTGTCTTATTCCTAAAGAAAGGTAAGGTTTTATTGTATGCTTTTTAAATAAAGCCCCAAGGCAACAAAAATAGATCTGCATTTGTTACAGTATCTTCTGATATTTGTGTTCAAGCACACTGAAATACTCTGAAGCCTATTCTTGTCTTGAATGTTTTATAGCCAGTAACAAAGGCATTATAACTCCAGGGTAGACAAAATCAATAAGTCTCATTAGGTTTTAAAAACAAGTTGATGTTAACTACTTCATGTAGCTGTTTTTTTAAATTTTTCTGTGGGTTGCTGGATGTGGTTTTTTTAGTTCTAAAGAGTGAAAAAGTTAGCATATAAATCAATTTTATTCAGCTCTTTTAGCCATTAAAAAAGAAATCTTCAGTGCAGTGTTATGTAGCAATTTTATTTTTTAAAACAAGATCAATGGAGTATGACATTTGAGGTTTTCCTAGCAAGCTAGTTTTAAAGAATAGAGAAATTTGCACAAAACAGTAATTTTTCTATCACATCTATGTTTTGCATAGATGTGTGTTTTAGAAGTTGTTGGGTAAGCTGAGATTGATCAAATAGGGCTAAGACCTCCTGTTTAATAGGTTTCCCCCCTGCTTTACATGTGTTCCAGGCTCAATTTTATACTTTTAATGAGAGAGGTAGCTTCCCATATATTTAGCCATGTCGAACCCTCCTGTAACCTACTCCAGCCTGTTTTTCACTGCTAACTGCTGGATAGCTCAGTAGTATATGTATCTGACCATAGAACCAGAGGTTGCAAGTTCAGTTCCTCTCTTGGCCTCTTTGACAGGGGCCGGACTCAATGATCCATTGGGTCCCTTACAGCTCTGTAGTTCTAAGATGATGGTGATGATGATGATTATCATTTTCAATAGAAATCTACTTGTGAATGATGATTCTCCCCCACCCACCCTCAAAAGACCAGCGCAATGAGGAAACCAACTACTGTATTGTTATAGGACAGAGACAGAGAGGGAAGTGGTGGGGGGCGTTGGGCCAGTATTCCTGGCAGCAGCCACATTTTTGCTGCGATATGTACTTTTAGACTCAGATTAACATGCTGATGTGCTTTTTGAATGTACATGCTGATGTGCTTTTTGAATTTGCAGAATATGAAAATAAGTCACTCCTTCTGGGCTCCTGGTGAGCATGTTGTCAAAAAAAGTTACAGCATAGAAATAAAAGTTACAGAGATTCTTCCCAGGTGGTTGTTGATCAGTGTCGGCCCAAGATACTATGTTGACTGAAGCAAAAGCCATGAGGCCGCATTCCCCCTATTGTGAAGACTAGTGGCAGGTCAATGCTAGCCCTCAGACCCTAT